ACCAGTTTAAGAGAACATAGTTAAGTCCCTTGTAATAGATTACCTAACATTGTTATGTCCTCACCCAATTTTTTTCAGTTAATCGATGCTTTTCTTCTTTACCAAAAACACTTCACTATAAAAATTTCCTCATTATTCAGATCCTTTTCTATCTAAAATGGAATTCGTCAGTGATAAGGCCTGGCTTAACAGCCTCCCCAATTTTATGGGTAACTGTCAAAGGAATATTTAGTTCTCTTATCGTCTCTCAGGACAAAATTGTAGGCCTTTGGTGGCACTCAATAACAATGTTCACATCTCATTTCCAACAATTAGAGGCATACTTCTCTCAGTTCTTTATTAGAAACAGAAAGCAAATCTGTGTAATTTTTAAACAAGAAAATTTAAAATACATTAAGTTTAGAAACAATCCTCCCTACTGCAATGTACAGTCTTTATTTAGATGAGGCACAAAGAACTTGATGATAGGACTCACATTAGGATAATGAACAGACACAGCTTAAAGCTACCTCCTTCTATGACAAAAAATGTTTCATGTAGTATCACCTCCAAAGAAGACACATAACAAATACTAGTACTTAACATTCATTATATTTATTTTACTAAATAGTATGATTCAAAAAAACACAAAACAAAGCTTTTACTTATAACTAGTCTTAAGTAAGTAGATGGGGTTGACTCCAACCCATCCCCATGGTCTTTATATATATGGAACTAGAACCATATTAGACAGTGAACACTTGTGTACACTTTGCCTTTCCTGTTGAACATGACTAAACTTTGAACATAAATGAACTTCTCTGAACCAAGCGACAAATGTAGCTTTATAAGATACAGGCACTTTTATGTTCCCAGTTTTAAAAATAAGCCAAGTGAAAAATAGCTTTAGTAGTTTTACCATTAGTTCTAGTGACTTACCAGTCAAATGCAAACAGCATCAAACAAAAGTTTTAACTGGGGTAAATGGTAATATTTGTAAAAAAAGAAATCCAAATTACTGTTACTGGAGAAAAATAGCCATTTGACCAACTTAGGGATATACCAATAATGTGCATCTGTACACCTCGGCAGCCGAGTAACATCTGAAAGCTTTGCAAGAATGTGTGTTTAGTGAGAAAAGCAAAAGGTGCTTTTATTCCACAGTATCTCATTAAACAAAACAAAGCAATTTACAAAGAAAAGTACCAAATGATACTTTAAAATAAATAGTTCATCATTTTGATGAATATATACAAGTAGAGTCCACTTCTGGGGCTTTAACTATCTAAAAGTGGCATATCACTATCCAGTGGTGCAGGAGCAAGTTCACATAAATAAAACAGTGTAGCTTCACTAGCTTCAGCTTCAGTCAATGGCTCCAGGCGAACAAGCTTACTTTGGGTTGGTTCGGGGTCCAGGTTGCCATCCAGAAGTTCATCAACTTCTACTGGTTTATCTACAGAGGACGTAACTTCTGATGATGCTGTTGTACTCCCCTGTTCAACAGCAGAAGCAGGGTTCCCGTCCAGGAATGCAAGAAGCGGAAAGGCAGTGTACTGGATAAGTTGCTTATCTATAAAATACAAAAAAGACAGACAAAAAAAACAGTCTTATATACCCAGACAAGATACGACATGATAATTCTTGTCAGTAAATTTTCAAATGTGTAAGTCAGAGTAGTCTTTTATTCAAAAATTAAGAGATGGTCTTTCTGGTCTTCTGAAGTTAAATAAGGAAAAAAAAAAGACAGACCTTAAGAACCGTTACCTTAACAATTCCACTTTCCACATGCTAGTACCTTGAGACATTATGCACAGAAGTGAAGTCAGTGTAGTACATATTCAAATTAAGTTATGACAAGACTTTCCTTGGCCATCATTAGTTTCTACATAGGACTCATCTTTAAAAACATCTGCCTAACCTAATGCTACCTCTATACCTACCTGGTTTGGACTTAGATTTTCTTCCATCTTCTGAAACTGGTTGAACAACATTGTTCTTTGTAGCTTCTAACCCTTTATTCTCAGACTAAAAGAAAAAATATTGTAAAAATATTTATTTCATGTTTTATATTTCTAAAAAGTATAAGAAAACAAGACTTAAAATGTTAAGTATTGATATATTATCTGAAAGGGGAACATCAAGGAAGATGGACTAGAGAGAGAGAGATTTTGAGTACAGGTAACAAGACTGGTTAAGAAAACAACTTGTTCTCAAGGGGTGAAAGAAAGGACATGAATTCAGGTAAGACTGAAAAGGGGAATTCCATCAGTAGAATAGGCAGAATTTGTCAAGGGCAAAAGATGGGAATAAATCAAAGACAAGTGGTTTCAAATACTAATTGAGAGAATTCTTTAAGCAACTGAACTCATTTTAAACAGTTCTGATTAAATAATTATTATACAGCATCTTCACTCATAATCAGAACATTTAGGACAAATAAACATTAAGAACAGCTCAGGATGGCACGATGACATCATTAAAACTATCCCTATACTTGGATGCCTCAATGTTGAGATGGTGCTTCTTCTTATTCCTTTTTGTGGCTTTGTAAGTTCTTTTCTGTCACTTAAGTTGCTTCTTTCACTCTTCTCTCCTTCTGATTATGATAGAGGAATTAATTCTTTAACGATGCTAATTTCTTCAAGTTTCAACAGTGTTCAAACTTGGAAGTGCAGTTCACAACTTTTTCCGAATAGCTGTAAGTCCCAAATTTCTGCATTCTGATTAAGTATGTATGTTAGATAACAAACATCTGTATAATAATCCCTACAATTCCTGACACTCATCATAAAATGAAGCAGTACAAGTTTCCAGAATTCAGAAAAGATAATGCCTCCATGGCAGAATAAAAAGTAAACCATTTCAAATATTTAAATAAAAATTTCATCATTTAACATTCACAGTACATAAAATTAATACATTTTTGTACTTATCTATTTTAAAATAGATAAGGATGGCATTGTTGATATTCTAAAACACAAGAACCAGAATTATGAATGGGTATCATTTCACTTAGATAGCTGTTTCTCTGAATTGGGAAAATGCTGTAATACATGTCAATACATTCTTGTCATGAACAAGGGAACAGATGATTTTCCAGTGATTTGAAAATGTTAATCTGGACTCAGAACCCTAAGGAAAAATCAGTCTCAAATTTATTTTTTTTCATAGTATTACAGAATGCAGTTTTCCATGTTTTAACTGCTTTTTCTATGTAGCCAAGTTACTGCTTTTTGGAGTAAGAATAATGACCCAAAATTTAATGTCTAGCAATAAATGAACAGTAAAACACATTCACTACATTAACATATGATATGGGCATTACGTCTAACTTAACATTCAATCACATGATCATATTTACTGAAACACTGAGCTGAGGTGGTTGATAGACTTTTATACTAAAAACCTAGACAAATGAGGGTCCACATGCCAAATATAGCATGGTACCTGCTTATTTAAGAAAGTTTTTGGCTGGGGATGTGGCTCAAGTGGTACAGTACTTGCCTAGCAAGCACAACTCTTGAGTTCAAGCCCCACTACTGCTAAAAAACAAAACAAAAACAAAAAAACAAAACAAAACATATTTTTGGAACACAGCACACATTCTTTTGTGTACTGTCTATACCTTTTATATAAAATTGCTGTATCAAATAGTTGTGACAAAGATAAGGCCTGTAAAACTGAAAGTATTTCCTAGATGCCCCTTCACAGAAAGTATGCTAGCCCATGATATAAATCATCCAAATGCTAAACATATAATTAACTTCCTAGTTCCTAAATTTATAAATTTTTTTCAGCTCCGAATTAGCGAACAAGTAACTAAGAATGTAGAAAATCTAGTCAGCTATCTCCTTACAGGTATTAGAAAAATTCAACTCCATCACTTTATTTTCACTTATGTTTAGTTGAGATGTGCTCATTTTTAGATTGCCAAGAACAAGAATCAAAATGAAATTCTGATTTCACTAATCTGGAATTTGGATTCAGTTTACCTTTGTATTCAGTGAAAATGAAAAGTTACTGGACAATTTGGTGTAAATACAAGATAAATTACTAGACTATTACTAGTCAAGGCAATAAGCTCTACAAAATAACGAAGTAATGTAGAAACACGTGCTCTAATGACTTCTAATGTCCTTACTTTTCATTAAAAGCCAGTTTGAAAGAATCTCTTGCCAATACTTGCTAAGCCCAAGTGGAGTTCCTATTAGGTTAAATGACAAAATCCTTGTAGCTTAAAAAAAAAAAAAAGCCAAAAATCCCTATACTTCACTATTTTAATTTGTTTTCCTTTATTTAGTACAAATTCTTGAGTTTTTAATGTAGGCTAATAAAATGAAGAACTTTATAGAAGAATATGGGTACTGGTAATTTTCAACTGAAAAACACCTGCAAAGAATGTAAAAATGAAGGCTGGCAGAGAGGCTCAAGTGGTAGAGTGCTTGCCTAGCAAGCGAGAGGCCAAATTTAAGCCCCAGTACCACCAAAAACAAAAAGAATGTGAAATGAAGCACATAAAACATGAATAAATCATATTTTAACTGTTTATTCCAATGATATAACTGAACAGGCTAAGGTTAGGTGATTTACCAGCACCAAAAGAGGCTAATTTCATACTGAGCGTGAATCCCACATGTGCTAATATAACTAGGCAATCACAGAATAATCTCATAACCAAAAGCTAATTTTCATCTAGCATTTTGCTATCTCAATCACACATATTAGGCAAAAATATAAAAAAATTTTTTAACTGAGTCATACTGTTCTCTACTTACTGGGACTTTTTTCAGATTTTTATAGCTATGGGACCTAAGTAACATGAATTAAAACTTACTTTTGTATTATTGATGTAATCTGTGGGATTCATCTGCACAGAACTAGTGAAAAGCTGAAAGACCAAACAAGAAAGATGGTAAGTTTAAAAAATATTGAAAAAGAATTGTGTGTTCAAAATTTTTATACAACCATTGTTGAGTAAAAAGATACTACTCCTACACTAGAAGTTTCCATACAGCAAAACAAGTTTGGAAGAGAAAAACAGGAAAGCAGAACCAAAACCAAAAGCAGAGCAAGCTAGCCCATGCACTAGATGGAATTTCATGTTGTAAGATTTTTTTTCTTTGAGATAGTAGGAGACACAAGTGGTTTTCTCTAACTTTCATCTCTATTCAATTTCATTTTTTGTTTATTTATTTATTCTCTCTTAATGCCTTTGGCCTTATATAGCACCAAGCGCTGAGTCCCATACCTGACCCTAAGTCTTCATCAAATACCTTACTGATTAGATGATAAATTTATAGGATCTACTCTAAGATACACCAAGAAGAGTCCTATGACAAAATGGCATACTTGGTTTTTCCCTCACCTACAAGGGAAGTCATTAACTGCTAAGACAGCAGTCCTTAGTCTATGCAGGTTATAGATATAACTGTTGTTAGATCATAAAATTTAAAGTTGGTCACTCCACAGGTTATTAAGCATCTAAGAAGCAATTTGACATCATGAAGAATATGAGATGAGACATTATTCCTGCTCTCCAAGAGCTTACAATCTAAAAGACAAGACTAACATCAAGTAGCAAACATAAATTCAGATACAATCCAGTATTATAACAAAGGGTGGTGGGATTCAAAGTTACTAAAGAGTTAAAAGAGTGAGAGGAGAGAAAAACAAACCCAGACACACAGGATGAGACAAAAAAGCCTCAATAAAGCTACGGGATGTGTATCAGTCCGTGGAGAATAGTTAGGACTTGGAAAGAAGGAAAGGATGGAGGGATGTGTACACAGGCACAGCATTAGCAACCACAAAGAAGGTAGGTATGTTCTAGAAAAGGGTAAAACCAAGTAACATTGAAATTCTGAATTGAATATTTGTAAATAAGTTCAAAAAGTAGAGCAAAGCCAATCAGTTGACGAAGTCAAATCCTATCAGCAATAACAGCCTTGGGAATGGAATGGCCTCAGTAACAAAATACAGACAGTAAGTTAGAACTTTATGGGAATGAGCATAGCAAATGATTTACAAGATAGAATGAAATGCAGGAGACATGGATACATCCTTTCTCCCTTCTCTCTGGTCATTGATTCCTCTTTAAACTTCCTTAAAATTCAATGTAGGGATAACACTATCCCTGTTTTTTTTCTTCCTTCTCTTTTCATATCACCTATTGGGCCTTGAAGAGAAAGAGCTCCGATCCTTGAGAGTAGACAGAAACATATGATTACTAATCTCTGCCAGCTGAGCCAATCACTACATCAGATGTCTGACTAGATTTTGCCCCTACAAAGGGTAACCGTGCCTGTGAAGGGTCAGCAGTATAAGCTCCACTTGTCTCATGTTTACCCTACACACTAACTCAGGGATATCTTACATGCATTTCCAGCAGACACATAGCACAAAGAAAAAACTAGACCATATATAAGAAACTGACATAGATGAATGAATTCTAAGGCCATCTTCCTGCTGACTCCACCCTGGATAAACCCAGTAGTGAATTATGCAGAGAGAAACCATAAGCTCTACAGCATGTTTATTCACATAAGACCATATTTCTTTGAATCTCAGAAAACAAAGCAAACCACAGATGAATTTTTTTAAATTTATTTATAGTATAGCATAATTCAAGGATAAAATGGTAAAGGTCTTAGATGAGAGAAGTGACCATGGAAATACAAAGTAGGTGTGGCTTGTGAATGTATTTTGGCAAATAGAAAGGACCCAATGGATGATAAGATAAATTGGGGGGGAAAATAAATCAAGGTGATTCTGTGATAACTAACCTCAGTGAGGAAACAGAAGTCTGATACTATTACAGAAAACAAGAAGCTATAAAGAGTAGCTAGTTTAAGAAATATTGGGGTTAAACACAAATAATCTTACGGACAGATACAGCTGATGGTCCCAAAAGCATGGAATTGGAGTTCAAGCAAGTTTATTTTTAAAAATGTTAAGAACTGGAGATATACACTTCAGAATAAAATCTCTTCAAAGAGAAGAGCAGAAAAAGAGGTAGAAAAAAAAAAGGGGATACAAATGCCCCTAAGTAGAGATAGCAGGAAGAAAAGGTATTAGAGGAAAAACAGAATGGTTAGGGAGACAAAAAGAGCCCCGTGCCTCTAAGGTCAACAGAAAGAATTCTGTTGTAGAATACTCAAAACAAAACAAACAACCCTCCTTACACAGCCTACTTATTGTATATACAGTATTATTTTACAATATCAGTGATAGTGTCAATTATTTATAATTCTTGCAATAGCCCTTCATGTTAGGCATTAGCCATGCTTAATAGATGGAGAAACTGGGAATGGTTAGCTTTTTCAAGGTTAGCAATCAACTTAGTAAGATGAACCTATAACAGAATTCAGACCTATCTGATTCTAAACAACCCTTCCATTAACCCAATGGACTGTTTAAAGAGAAAACAAAACAAAACACACATGCACACCCTACTTCCTGCAGAAATTCTAAAACCAAAACACAGCAAATCACATTAAGAGTAAATAAGCAGTAAAATACATAGTTTTAGATGGTTTCAAAAGAAACTGAGTAAAACACAGCTAACAAATCTCACTTCTAATGTTTTGTGGTGAAGGAGTTAAAAGAAACAGAATGGTAAATGAGTATAAGAGGTCAAAATGCTTGTTTTTAAAGATGAGGACGATCTGTACCTATTGAAGGCAAATGAGAAACATCAGGATTCAGAAAAGAAAAAAAAAAGAGAGATGCACAGGACAGGAATACAAATTGACTTTAAAGAGAAATAAGTACTTCATCTAAGAAAGAACACAAGATTCAGAACCACAGCCTATGAGAGGACCAGGGCACAATGAACTATTTTCTGTGAATAGGGGTACTTGAAAGCAAATAAATATTATACATGTTCAAAGCTGAATTAAATGAACACTAGTTGAATACTGCAAGAATTTCAGATGGCCAGAATTACAGGATTTTAACTCATTCTTAGTACTCTAAAGAGTAGATATTGAAAGGTCTCCAGGATTCAGGGGCGAGACAAGGGCTGAAACAATCAAAAACAGCTACTAAGTAACTATTAAAAAGTTGAAATAGTTCATCAACATAGGAAAGAAATCTTCAAAGAATGTGAAATACATCCTATGTGGTGATTTGGAAGGTGATTAAGCCATGTGACATTGACTAAACTGATGAGAAATAAAGATGTAAATTAGCAAACAAATTGATGAACTGGAAAAAGACTGAAGAATAAAAAGACTGAAGAATAGCAAAGAATTAATTTCTTTTAGCCTCATTGAGAGGCTCTTAAAACACTAAAATTATTTAATTTTTTGATGTGAGAGTAAAGCAAGAAAAATACAGAAAAGAACAAACAACTTTTCAGAATAAAGAGAGTAAAGAGTTCACAACATAGAAAAAGAGAGAACAAGATTCATCCAGGCCAGACTATACAGAAAGCTTTGGATAAAGTGGGTTAGTGCCAAAAATAGTAGGTAAGGAGTCGCAGTCCAGACAATACTAGAGTCAAGTTCACACAGTAACAAGGATTGGGGCAGGGATACCTTGGGATTCAATACATAAAAATATAAAAAATATAGCAAATATAGTAAGATACATGAATGGAAAATGTTAATTCCCAAAGTATTAAAAAGTGTCTCTATGCTGTTTCCTGGCTAGGAACTTTTATTACTAATTACTACAGATCTTTATTCAGTGACGGTTTATTCTAGGGTAAAACATAGCACAGCAACAAGTCCAGACAAGACCTGGATTTAGCAGTACTGTTGAATAGAACTGGTATATTGTTACAGGGGGATTAACTGAACTGCTACTCAGAGGCAAGTAGTGATCACTCTCTCTTTTAATGTTCCAAACCCATCTGTTCATCCTTTCTGATAATACCATTTATTTTTAAAAGAAAATGCAAAAAAATACAAAAATAAAAAGACTGAATTTTAAATAACATATGTAAGTACATAAATTACCAGTACAGGAAAGATTATCCAAAGTACCTACATCAACCAGGAGATCTGGGTCTATGCTAAACTGTCTTCCTGACAGCATAGCTTGGAAGTCCTCTAAACTGCAATCAATACTGTCAAGATAATCCAACAGCTCAACTCTAAGGGAAAAGAAAAAAATAAAGAAAATTGAAAATTTATTAGGCTTCCTCATTCTTACATTTAAAATCACCACTGCCACCTACATAGGAAAAATATTCCTAGCAACTGCTGAATCCTTATCATTTTTAAGTTTAAGACATTCCATTCAAGATTTGGGATTCCTCAAAATTTGTTTGAGAACTTAACAGTCTTTATATAAAACATATTTACAGAAAAGGTTCTGCAATAGTTTGACTTACCTTTTTCTTCTATCTCAATGTCTAACATTCTAACATTCTACTTGTTTACTAATCTCATTACTATTAATTATTGGCTTTCTTTATGCTAAAATCCCTTAACAGAAATTATATTAATTCATAGTACCTGTACAAATACAGTCACAAATACCTTATAGACACAAAGTATTTCATTTAAAAACTTGAAAACTGTTCATGAAAATTCCAAGACCGTCTTGGGACCTTTCATTATTGACGCTAACACTTGATCAACAGAAAAACAGACCAGATAGGTTCATCATCTGAAAAGATTGCTCAAAAAGTAATAGAATGTGAAGTGAATGAAGAAAGCAATTAATTTCAGACAATGTCTAAATGAGCACTCACTTTCCCAAAAGATTAATGTTCTCATTCAAAATGGAATCCATCATGGTCACAGGATCTTCAGAGGTGAGAGTAGATGACCCATTTATCTGGACAGCACTAGACATGAGGGGGTTGGTGCTGTCATTTCCTGAATTTAAGGATTCCCCTGTTGGTTCACTCTGATCTCCACTTTGAATGACAGGTGCATACTCATCTTCATTATCATCTTCAACAATGACAATATCAGGGTACTGGCTACAGCTAGATCAGCAAGATGAAAAGAAGAAGCAATTATATTTTCAGGCAAATTTAATAAATTCACTCTTATCATTCTCCACATACAAAAAGCTTAAATTTCTTGAGTATGTAGCTTAGTCTGAAGTACTGATACTTCATAAAACACAAGGTCACAAAAATTGATGAAAATGTTTAATTCCAAAATTAAAAAAAAAAACAACAACCAACTGTCATTTCTTCTTTACTTTGTGGATGGGGACATTTACTGATTATATGGTTGAATAATTTACTTATTCAACTAAATAATTCAAATATAAGATAGTTATTACTTCAACAAAGAATAAAGTAGTTTTGAATTTAAATCCTTAGTAAGTGACCAATATTTTCATCAACTTTATCTTACAAACTCCTTACTTAGAGGTATCAGATATAACATCTTCATTAGTTTCTGGAATAACTGGGATATTTTCTTCATCTGTATTGTCATCAGTAACATCATAAATAATGATGTCATCTGAAATACGATCTCTCGACTTCAAACCTTCAGTCCTACTGTGTGGAACCTAAAAAATCAGGAAGAAAAATCAGAATCAAATGGACTATCAAAAGGATATTGTTTAAAAATCAGCTGGATACATATTTAGTAAATGTTGGGGAAATAATGATAAAAGAAACAGCTATGCCCTCTGCCCTTCTTGGACAGCATACTAACTGGAATTAGTAGTACCAATTTAAAGAGATATGAAGAGTATTATCTGCATTCTACTTTTACTGTAAGACACCCTGAAGATGACATATCAAAAAACGTTTTTACCAAAGATCTTCAAATCCTAAAATATTTTTTATACCTAAAGAGTGAAAAAGTTTTAAGCCTTCAGAAACTTTAAGCATTATCAATGGTCACTGTACTGATGGGGATTACTTCTCTCAAACTGCTTGCTCTGTTTGACATGTCTTATTCTAACTCATTAAATGGTTTCACTAAGAAAAAAACAACACTTCAACTATTCCATGGTTAAACGTCCATAGCTTGGGTTTTTTAACAAAGGATTTGTTTTTTTTATTAAGATACAGGTACATTTAGACCACAGTTACATCAATTTTAAAAAGTTCAGGCTGGAGGTGAGGCTTAAGTGGTAGAGCTCTTGCCTAGCAAGCACAAAGCCCTGAGTTCAAACATTGGCACTACAAATAAAAAAAAATGCTTTCAAAAAAAGTTCAATCCTCTAAAGCAAACTAATTATTGTAAAGCAAAAATCTGTAAGTTTCAACACTAGATAATAGGGAGGTAAAAGATGATGTGAAGTAGTTTATATAAATCTAGTTAAATTAAAAAACCTTCATCTACTTATATGAGCATTCAATCCTACAAACAAAATAACTACATCTGCTTATTATTTAGAAATAGAAGTGGGAAGAGGAATCAGATCTGAAGTTAATGCTGACTTGCTCCAGAAAAAAAAATATCTTGACAGTTCAGTAAAGAATCTGAAGCAATATTTAAGAATTCCAAGATCTAAAAGTAACAATGGTAGTTCAGTGGTAGAGCACTTTTCTAAGCATGCACAAAGAGGGCCTAGCACCTCAAAATATAAAAGTAACAATGATAGTAAATATCATAAGAAGAGGTGTAGTCCTGTATTAGTCTGATAGTAGACAACTCTGAAATTAGATACGGGTTTGACAAATAATCCACAGAGTTTGACAAAAATGAAAATCAACAAAAATATTTTGGAAAATTGCTAAAGAAAAGCAGTCTAGTCAGTGAATTTGCCATAAGTTGGAAACAAGATAACCAAGACTACTACATAATATTACATTTTAATAATTACAGTATCATCATGTTCAATTTTTATATTACACAGCATTAAAATGAACTAAATCTGTTTTATAAATCAAAAACGTAGCAACAAGTAAAAAAGCCACATTGGACTGGGATAGAGTGCTTTCCTGGGTTTAATCCCCAGCACACACACAAAAGCCACATTGCAAAGTAATATGTACAAAATGGTATTGTTCATATGAAATTTATACATGCAAAATGATACAAAATATTGTTCCTGGATTCATGCCATGAAAATGATAAGTAGTATGCAAGACAAAGAAAGGGGGAGAAACAAATTTGGAAACAGGCAACTGGAATAACTATATTTGTAATGATTTATTTCTTAAAATAATTTAAAGCAAATAATAAATGTCATGATTTAAGAGGTGGGGAATGAACACTTACATTATTATTCACTAAACTTCTTTGACTGCATGAAAAACTGCCATAATAAAGTTTACTTTGAGACAATAAATATAAAATATACATTAAAAATTACTTTATGATGGTGATTATCAGCTGATTCTTTGACTATGTGCTGAAACAGATTCTTCTTTTGGGCTCCATTAGTGTTTAGAAGTAGAGGTCTGGAAATCAGAAGAATATTCATGCAGTTCCATAAAGCAAACATAAAAGAATTTAAAGTTTCTAAGAATGATTCCACATTCACATTAATAGTGAATAAAAAATTTCAGTAAGGATATGAAGTAACTCTTTAATATGATACATCTTAGGAACAGAAATTGGGGGGATGAGAGTATCTAAGACTTCTTCCATTTTTCTGTATTACTTTTGTTATAAATATATTTTATAAATACTATAAACTACTCCTCCCAGACAAGACTTCACGCCTACTAAACTATACAGCTGTTTATAAACTATCCTTATACAGCAAAAAGTTATACCAAGAACTAGGTAGTGGAAGTAGGGCTAAATCCACAAACTTCTAATCTAAGAACTTTGCCAAAATCTTAGCCTTTTAGAAGTAATCTTTTCCCCATTCTAACTATGCCTTCTGTCAACTACTTTTTTGGTTTAATTGTGACAATGGAGGTAGCTGATATAAATACCACAACCTATGGTTAAGACACACGTTTAAAAAGACTGGGTAGATTAAACATAAGGGAGACCAAATAAAAATTTATTTCTTTTTCAACAAATCATCTTTTTTAAAAAAACAATGCCCTCACTTGGGCTTTGTGTTACTTTAAGCTGCTAATGTTAACTAAAAATATGTATTTTTTTGCTAGGGTTTGAATTTAGAACCTACACCTTGAGCTACTTCAGCCACTTAGCCAGCCCTTTTTTGTGATGAGCTTTTTTGAGATAAGGTCTCACAAACTATTTGCCTGGGCTGGCTTCGAATCATGATCCTCCTGATCTCTGCCTCTTGAGTGGCCAGGATTACAGGTGTGAGCCACCAGCTCCCGGCTAAAAATAGATTCTTTATTAACCGTATGTTAGTCTGTAAAGTGAACATTTATGGTATCCTTATCTCTCAAAAATATGAGAAGGATGCCAGCAGTAGACAATAAAGGTTGAAAATCCAAAACCTGAAATGCTCCAAAATCCAAAACTTTTTGAACATCAATATAATGGCATAAGTGGAAAATTCACCAACCCTCATGTAATTGATCAGTCATATTCAGGGTTCCCAAAGGAGAAAAATGACCCTCTCAGACTTTCCAGTTGCTTGATATATAAACTTTGTCTTGTGCATGAAATTATTTTACAAGTAGTATGTAAGCCAGTTGCCAGTAGCTCACACCTGTAATCCTAGCTATTCAGGAGGTAGAAATCAAGAGGATCAAGATTTGAACACAGCCCTGGGCAAACAGTTTGAGAGACCCTATCTCAAAACAATCACATTACCCAAAAAAAGGGCTAGCAAAGTGTCTCTAGCCATAAGAGTGCCTGTCAGCAAACATGAGGCCGAGTTCAACCCCATTGCTACCAAAAAAAAAAAAAAAGTGTATAAAATTACTTTCAGGCTATGTGCACAAGGTACATGTAAAACACAAATGCATTTTGAGTTCAGACATATCGCATCACAAAGATACCTCATGTAAATGCAAATATTTCAAAGTTTGAAAAAATCTGCAACCCAAAACACTTCTGGTTCCAACCACTTCAGATAAGACATAATCAATAAGATCACTCTTGAGATGTTAAGAATGTAACAAGGAAGGACTGTTCTTTTGATATATCAGGTATATACTCAGCAAATGTAGAAGAGCATTTATGGTTAGACACTCATGTTAAGACACTAATATTTTTGTCTATGTATAGTCAAATGTTATATCATAAACACTTACCTTTTACGTTTTAAACTCACAAGTTGGTTATTCTGAACCAATGTAACAATAAACTGGACAATCTGGAAGGAAAATGTAGATAAAAATTCATCAGAGACTCAATTCTTTAGTTCATTTTCAAATCTTTTTTCCCCATTTTTATTGTACAGGAGGATTCATTTTCAATGTTATAAAACTAAACCAGATGATATATGTCCTCTATTCTAAGTCACATAATTTTTCATATACAATATTTGAATTTTTGATGCATCTTACCAATTGATGTATTAAGAAAAATACCAGCTTGCACGCAGTTATTAATTTTGCTGATATTATCAAATGGACTGGATAAGGATCCCAACATTTTACTTAAAATGCTTTCAAGAAGATTACATTATGCCCTAATAATGTATACACATATAAATAAACGTAAAAACCATAAAATAAAATTTTTTTAAAAAAGATTACAACGCAAAAGTGAAAGCTGGTGTTTAATAGGCAACATCTTTCTTACCCTCTGTAATTCAATTAGAGGCAAAAAATCACCAATTTTTTTCAGAATAGATCAGAAAATTTTCAAGTTGGAAAAATGTTTACTGGCTGAATTACTACTGAGATGCATCTGTCAAAGCTTCTAGTTCATATTCAAGAGACACTAATTTAATTTTTACCATCTGATTATACTTACAGAGAAACCTATTAAACAAATCAAGACACACAAACAAGCCTTCACATTTTTTCTTAAAGTGTGACCCAAAGCAGTACCGGCCTAGGAGTTTCTTATACACATAAATTCTACTACAGAATTCTAAGACTACCCCACTACAGAATTGCTGAATCTAAAATTCTGAGGATGGGGCCCAAAATGTATGTGTTTAGTAAGTCCTCCAGTTGATACTGATATGTAAGAACAACTGCTTTAGGATATACCTTGAAATTATACTATCAACTTTGTACCTAAAGATGCTAAAAAAGTGAGTATCATAATAAATTATGAACAGCAGTGTGTCACAGAGAGCCAAGACTTGCTTATAAGTTTTGTGAAATGTAATTATGTGAATAAAAGAGTATTATTAATTAAAATCACCTATTATAGAGATTTAACATTTTACATCCCCCTCTTAAAGAGATTAACTACATGGCTTGCTTGGCAATCAAGATCGACTTTTCAATGGAGAAAAATATAAACATTTTAACTGAAGAATTAAGACAGTATAAGAACCACTAAATTGCTTATTCAAAAGAAAACATTTAAGCTTAAAAAAGATATCTATGGGATCATTTAACTTTATAAAATTTATAAATGTTACAGGAAACTTCTAAAAACATTAGTGGTTAAATTTATGAGAACATGAATCGTTGGCTAAATTTATTCTGTACCTCAGTTCTCTTTTGACACTTCTGGATGGCCTGCCTAGCAAAGCATGAAGCCTTGAGTTTAAGCCCCAATTGAAATGAAATAACCAGCAACTATCCTTGCTTGGGGGGAGTGCGGGCTGGGGGCAGGGAGGGAGGATCCTGCAGATTAAATAGTATTGTAAATTAATATTTAGCCCAAACATTGTTTTCTGAAAACAATTATTTTCCCCGTAATGTACAGATTTAAAAACAAGTAACATTTAAAATCAGATATTCTTGATAGTTTCTGCATTACAGCTGCCTATAGAAGTTTTAAAAACACATGTATTTGAACTAAACACTTAAAATAGAATTCTATCATGTTCAACCTTCATCTGCTGAGCAAAACAAAAACAGAACTAGCATATCTAGTGTAACTATTGGCCAAAAACTGCAACTGCTGTTCATCTCTGCCCTAAGCCTGCTTCACTAGATCCAGACTCTGTAAGTCATAATCCTATTTTTAGCTCAAAGGTCTTCCAAGCAGGAACAAGCTCCCCCCAACCCCCAAGAACTTACTGCTTAGAGTCCAGTTCACTCATAAGCAAAAAATAGCTGCCTTAATTACTTTTATGTTTCACCTCAAATTAAAAAATGAAAGTTGATACAGATTAAATCACAAGGACACAACGCCAAGGAGGAATTCCAATTTCCTCATTAATTTTCAGCTCAGACAATAAAATATAGAATTTATGTTAGAACATTCTATTAGCTGCTTTTATGTACAGCCTAATAATGGAATATAATGAAAAATCATTATTGAACTCATAATTTGGTCAAGTGACTTGACAATTAACTATGTCTACTGTAGTTAAAAAAATAAAAATAAAAAAAAATACCAGATCATTTTATCACGTTACAAAATTAGTACATTAAGTGCCTCAGAATAAAGGATTTTAATTTAAAATTGTTATTAAAAAGGCTATATAAAACTTGGCTTAATTTGTTTCATAGTTGTACTTCTACCTGTGTATCTAATATATAAAAAACTTAATACCAATTACTGATTATCCACAATCAGTACATATGCAAATCATGGTCACAGGGAACAGAACCTCTTACCTTTCGAATAACTTGCTGTTGTTGTGCATGCTTTGCTCGTAATTCTGATACTTCCTTCCAAAGGGACTCATTCTCACTATTATAATTAAAAAACAAAATAAAAAAGATTCAGTCAAAAAAAATCAAGGCTCGGTATCTTCAACTAAAAGTACTAGAGGAAAAAAAAAAGTATCAGAGAACTTCAGCACTTAGAAAAGGGGAAGGGATTTCCCCAGTTCAAGACCAGCCTGGGCTTCATAGCTACATAACAAGACCCTGTTATAAACAAACAAAAGCTGGTGGCTCACACCTGTAATTCTAGCTACTCAGGAGGCAGAGATCAGGAGGACTGGGATTTGAAACCAGCCTGGGCAAAGAGTTTGCAAGACCTTATCTCAAAAAAAAAAAAAAAAAAGCCATCACAAAAAAGGGTTGGTGGAGTAGCTCAAGGTATAAGCCATGAGTTTAAACCCCAGTACTGCAGGGGAAAAAAAAAAAAGCTAGGGAACTTAACTATACTTGTTTTTACTATACTATGTATTTTTATGAGACTAGGAAAACTGTGGCTCAATTACATAGGAATGACAACTACCTTGACACAACTCTAGGATCATTCTTTCTTGTGTTATCTACTGTTCGTAGCAATATATATACAAAAACTTAAGACACATACCTACATCTATAAGGTAGTAGACAATTTACTCCTTTTGACAATCTGGTTCAGTACTTTTTGTTTAAAAATAATCTAACCTTTAAGCTGTGGCTGCCAAGTGAATTCAGACCTTGTGAATCACCTTAGGAAACAAAGGAAAGTGACTATTACCTAGCACTTGATGTGTTCCAGGCACTATGCTAAGCATTTTATGTGTATTAATTATTTAAACTTCTCTAAGTACTGCCAAAAAAAGGAATCATTATCTTTATTTTATAGATGAGGACACTGAGGTGCACAGAACTGAGAGAATCTGCCCAGTATCACAGATAATTCCGTAACTTGTTAAAGTCAAACTAAAGTCTGTTAGACTCTAAAACTACTTTAAGATCTGTCTCAAACAAAAGCAAATGAAAACTACTAAAAGTTACTGCATTATTAAATATTTGCAGAGCTAATGATGGTGAGAAGACAAAAGATAATCCAACTACCAAATGCTTACATCTTTGATCTTTTGTTAATCTCCACAAAAGCCATCTTCCTCAATATGCACTGTTATAAAAGTAACTATGGAGTCACATATAGAGGTATATTAAAAGGACATTTTCTTTAATACTTACTAAGTTTTTTTCAGACTCAAATTTAAAGATGCTGTGATCTGCCTACTAAAGTAGATCATTACCTCTAAGACTTAAAGGATGATTCAGGAGCCATTTCCTTTAAGGGGTTAAACTGAGATCCACAAAAATGGATCAAAAGGCAGCTAGCAGATACAAGATAAATACAATAAGCAGCATAAAGAGTTATATAAAATATGCAAAATGGGAACCTTAAGGCTTATTCAAACAAGGAATCAAAGTCCAAGGCTACTCTTAATGAAAATATTTGAGTTAGGAATAACTAAACTAACAACCCACATTTGAAATGGGAGAACAAATACTTAAAATAACTACTTTCCAGTCTTTAGCAACTATTAAGGGGAAACTTCCAGCTACTTACTGAGAAGAGTAAAACACATCTAAACTACATATAAGTTATTAGTGGTAAGTTAGGAAAATGCTACCAAGTAATGTAGTAAAACAAAATAAAGGAAGATAAATGTTTGAAATTTCCAGGTCTATGTGAAATAAGTTTCAAGTAGGGCAACTCTCTTGTGTGCTTTTTTCTTAAATTTTGTGTCCTACTTTTTCCAGATAGGCCACATCAAGGAATTTTAAGTAACAGCCATAAAAAAAAAGAATGGGTAATATGTAGGATTTTTAATATGTGCCCTCATTAGTGTGTGAATACCATATGAAAGCTAACCTGTAGAATTGTATCTTCTCCACTAACTATTGTTTCATCAGCAAGATTTATGCATCATATTGTTTTGTTGTGCCTAGGAGGTTTATATATTCTTCTGATCACCATAATTAAATTAGGATAAAGTCTAGCACTACAATTCAAGAGTAAAAGGAACCAATACTTGCAGAAAAACAACTGTGATTTTGGCTTCAACAGTACTTAAAATATCAGACAACCTCCAATCCCCAATACACACACCCAGCCCCCACAAATACTAGGATTATATTTGGAAGAAATATTTTACCTTTTTAATTCTGAAAGCCTGGACTCAATAGTTTCTTGTTTTATTTGAACTTTTTGAGCACTACTTATAATTTTTGTCAAATCTTCCTGACGAATTTTATTTTCTTCTGGTTTTGAAGATGAAACCTTCCAAAAAACAAATTTAGGAAAATCAAATATATACCAAACACCCATGATTGGAATGCAAAGCTCCCCTAAGAGATAAAAGGTTTTGTAGCCTTTTCAAGAAGATCTGGTTCCAAAAATTCCAGGATGAAATTCTAGGGAGAGAATAAACTTTATAGGTCAATGGGAGAGGAAGCAAGTAGTAATGATATTACTTTTCATTTTCAATGACTAGGAACATTTCAGGGTTTTTTTTTTTTTAATATCCTGCCAAATTCCCTAAAATTTCCTCACATTTCTTGACATTCCACATTTTAAATAAATTTATGCAGTAATATCGACATAGTAGAACATTTTTTTCATGGTCTATGCACCTTTTACGGATTACTAAAAATATCTTATTTCAGTAAAAGATACCATTCATTCAAAAACGTAATAATGAATGCCTATGATAAGGGATTTACTTTGGGCACTGGATATATAACAGTGAACTACAGGACAGAAAAAGTCCTCTGGGAAGCTGATATTTTAGGAAAAGCTTACTTTTGTGGAGCTATCTTAGGAGTGAGCCATTCCACTAGGCCTCTTCACCTCACTCATAATGTTGTAAACATCTCACTAAGAACATCTGTGTATTTCTGTACATTCTTAAATTTAATAGTTGAAATAAAAATCTTAAGTCAATCATACTACATGTCTATATGCAAGTTAATTTATGTTAACAATATCTCACCTTCCTTTTAATGTTTTCCAACAAGTCATCCTGGCCTTGTTTGAAGTAAGGATGCTGAAATTCAACAGGACCATCTCTTTCCTGTTTTACAATTCCAGAGTCAATATGTACTACTTTACGGAAACCATCTGAAAAAGATTTAAATTTTAGTGTAATGACTAAACTTAGAAGTAAAAAATTAATGCTTGTAAGAAATATATTTTTATCATCCCAATGAGAAAAAATGGTGCAATCAGTCAAGATCAGCACCACAAATAAACCACTGTCCATACTCACACATATTTAGTTGCCTCACAAAACTTGCCATGTTATTGTGCTTGAAGTATTTGGGAAGAATTTCTTTTGCAAATCTTTGTTCATCCAAGACCAGAAAACTCTGACCATTCTGGAAAAGAAAACAAAACAAAAACCAAAACAACAGTAAAGATTAATTAGTCATGGTCCTCTGGCACACAGTCATCTATATAAACCCAAAACCTGCCCCATGCAATCCTTCCAAGATACTTTCTACATTCTATTTCTGGCAATGGCAATAAAAAAGCAAATTGTAATTAAGTCTCAAATAGTAATTGAGCTTTTTGATGTCAACCTCAAGCCAAAAGCTGCATCTTATTCTGTAGTGAAATATTAGAATTTCCATTAAGTAAGAACAAACAGGGCTGGCAGTGTGACTTACATGGTAGAGCACCTGCCTAACAAGCATGAAGCCCTAAGTTCAAACCTCAGAACAACCAAAACAAATATATAAAACAGACCCAGTGTATAGCCAGCACAATTATTTAAGCCTGGTTTGAAATTAATATAATTAGAGAAAAATAAAATAAATTTTGAGGGGAGTCAGGATTTTATGATTATCTGTAGTAGACAATTACATCTGAATACAATAAATTGAAAAACTAAAAGAATTCAGTAAGATATCTGGCTACTAGGTTAATATTAAAAGTTACTAGTAGGGTTTTTCCATACCTCCCAAAAAATAAATTGAAACTTACTATAAAAACACTGTAATCAAAACAGCACTGAAATGGCAGAAAGGCACATATTTAGATTAATGGAAAAATAAAACATCTCAAAGGACTTTCAAACAAAAGTGTCATGACCGCTCAATGGGTAAAAGACAGTCTTTTCAACAAATGGTGCTAGGAAAACTGAATGTTCACATGCAAAACAATAAAGTTGGACTCTTACCTGATATCATATAAAAAATCAACTCAAAATGGATCAAACACCTACATCTTAGAGGAAGAGATTCATGGCATTGAATTTGGCAATGGTTTCTTGGACATGACACCAAAATACAAGCAATGAAAGCAAAACCAGAAATATGGGGTCATATTAAATTTAAAAACTTTTGGGTAAAGAACACTACCAACAAAGTGAAAAAGCAACCCACAGAACAGGAAAAAGATTTGTAAATCATGGGTCTGATATATATATTTATAACATGTATAGAATTCCTACAATTCAAAAACAGTAAGAAAAAACTCAATTAAAAAAGACTTAATAGAAGATATACAAATAGCCAATAAGCACATGAAATGATACTCAATATCACTAATCATTAGGGAAACAAAAATCAAAACCACAGTAATATATCACTTCATAGCCATTTGGATAGGTATTCTGGAAAAAAACAGAAAATAAGGCTGATGAAGATGTGGAGAAATTTGAACTTCTGTGCACTGGTGATGGAATATAGAACTGCATCTGCTGTGAAAAATACATTTGTACCCCATGTTCACAGTAACATTACCATACTAGACAAAAAGGTAGAAGCAACTTAAGTGTTCACCAACAGATGAATGGATAAACAAAGTAGTGCATAATGAAATATTATCCAGCATTAAAAAGGAAATTTAACACATGCTATAACATAGATGAACCTTGAGGACATTCCACTAAGTGAAATAAGCCAGTCACAAAAGGAAAACACTGTATGATTCCACTTATATGAAGTATCTAGAAAAACCAGCATCATAAAGACAGAAAGAAGAATAATGGTTGTGAGAGGCTAGAGGTACAGGAGAGCTGGAAGTTACTATCTAATGGGCATGAAATTTCAGTTCTTCTCAGAAAGAAGAAAAATATTCTGGAGATGGATGGTAGTGATGGCTACTTAATATGCACTTAAGGCTACTGAACTGTACACTTAAAATTGCCAAAAAAAAAAAAGGTTAACTTTATGTTATATTTTATCATAATTTAAAAATCACACAGAAGTGGCAATATAAATTTGGAAAAGGAGGATTGAACTATGTATTATAGGTGTCTGATAACTTCATATATGGAAAATAGTGAAAATGGAACCCTCAAAACACCCACAAAAATCAATTCCACATGGACTCCAGATATATATGACATCTAAAGCTTTAAAATGTGGGAGTAGGTTGTCGAGTGGCTTAAGTGGTAGAGCGCCTGCCCTGCAAGCATGAGGCCCTGAATTTAAACTCCAGTACTGCCTTCCCTGCCACCTCACTCCAAAATAAACCTTGGGAGTGATAGACCTTAATAGTAACAGAATACATTTTTTAAATATATAGGACCTTTTAAGAAAATATTAAAACTGATGGATGTAAAGAAGACAAATGTACTATAAAACTGTTAAACCTATCTAATTTAACTACTATATTATATTCTCTCTCTGGGTTTTTTTTTTTTTTTTTT